ACTTACTTATGCAGCTTCCTGTATTCTTTAACTTATTGCATATCCAGTAGGAAAGGGTTTCTAGATCTCAGTGCAACTTTAAAAATGGCACATTTCCTGCTTACACTAAGCAAATTATCTGCTTCAGGCAGAAAGACATTTACTCTTGGTGAACTGCTAATGCAGGAGTCAATGCAATACACTGTACTGGTATGCTCCAAATGATAAACCCGCACACTATGAAGATACTCTATAGGAATGCTTGTCAAAGAAAAAAATGTGGCAAAAGCCTCATATACCAAATATTGCAGCTTCATTCCTAATTAAGGACATATTCCATTTTCCTCTTTGTCCGCTGCATTTTTTGCAGCATTTAAAAGCTTTGATCTAGGCTGAGGACAGCATGACACAACAAGTCTCTGTAAGAAATATGCTATGTATATAATTTAATGCTGGACAGTAAACCTTTCCATTATCAAGAAGCAGAAAAGAGTGTCTTTAAACTCCCTTCCTCCTTAACTACTCAAGGATATGAGCCAAGGTAACTGGTTCATTCATGGGTACATACAAGATTCCTTATCTACTGGCTCAGTACTTTTTGTGCAGAAAGATGCTTTTGGGAAGGTTTCCATTCACCTTGTTTTGAATTATACTATAGTCTTGATCCTTGCTTTACTGCTGCTTTAGGCTTTGGATGTGTATTTGCATAAAATTTTACATATCTGCTTTTATACCACTAGCTGTCTCTGGCATAAATAACCTCTGTGTTTAGCCCATACATATTTGCTTGGCACTGTTACTCAGCACCGTGTTTTCAAAGCTTTCCTGCAACACGATAAACTGTGAACAGAAATGGAACAAAACAAAGCAAAAAATTATGATTTTAGAAAGTGCTGACTTTCAAACTGGCATATTCATTACTTACTTTGATGTCTGATAATTATTACATATTGTTCAAGCATATTTTCATATTTAAACTACTTTCTTAAATCATAACATTCTGGAGTTGGTGAGGCTACTGCTAAATAACTATGCACTGACCAAAATGCTTGGAATGAGCAGAAGTGGCTACCAAATACACAACAAATAATAACAGCTGACCAAGAACATGCTGTGATGGCAACGACATATTCAGCGTAACATCAAAAATCTTCCAATAAAGCCCTTTCTCTGAGTTAAAGGAACAAGCATTACTAATTTGCTTATGAAGAAATATGACTGAAATATCTATATAAGGAACTTGAACAGCCTTACTGATTTACAGGATATAGTTGTGACATCAAAATCTTTATAAAACCAGTATATGACAGGTAAAGAAACATTTACAAGTAGGAATCTCTTAACACTGGTATAAACAGATTACATGAGACATCAAATCGAACCTGCACTTCTGATTATGCAAACATTTTAGTTCAGATCTTCTGTATTAAAACTGATCAATATGGATTGTTAGCTTTAAAAATATATACTTGGCTCTATTAAAGTACATGTTATTTAAATATAGCCATTTAATTATATTAGTTAGAAGTAAATTAAACAGGTCATCTTCAGTGCACAGCACACAGATGAAGCGTGAGCAGTGAGTATCTTGCCCTTAATACAAACAACAGACAAGTAGAGTGAATTGAAAAGATGAAAACATTCATAATCTACATAATAAATATGCTGGCATTAATTTAGGAGTTTATAAAATAATTCAACATTGCTCTAAAAAAGGAATATGCAAAGATGCTAGCTACAACACCTCTTAGCTAGAAGCAGTTCAATGTTTCAGCACTTGGTCTACCACAATTCTGACTACGATACAGAATTGGTACAGTGTGCCTCACCTGGACCTGTCTCAAACACATCCTCTGAACTCCTAAAACCAGACAGGCCCTCAGCACCAACCCGGACTTTATATGCTGTTCCTGGTGTTAAACCCTTTAACACAAAGAAGCTTCGAGAACCATTTACAATTTCTTTTTTCCAATCTTCTTTGCCTACAAAAATTTTAGGAAAACAACATATTGGAATTTTAATTTTCTCTGTATTACTGAAAGATTCTAGACAGAATACTATCAACAATTACTTGACTAAACTATGGATTGGCTGAAAAAAATAACTGTGCTCTTAAAAAATAATAAAAACATATAAAATTATGACTTCAAATAATATATTGCATGCAATATATTGAAGAAGACACTGTACATGAATTATGAAACTATTTTAAACATTTGTTCCATTGTACTAGAGGAATACTATTTTCATTTTTTTAAAGGCTTATGAACTTGCAATTATAAAATAAATTAGAATAGATTTTAATCATTTAATTAAATTACACTTCTGTAGTTTCAGTCAATATTTACTTTAGTTGAGAAGTTCTAACTCAAAATCTGAACCTATCCTTTTTCCTGATCATTCTCTTATATCTTTTTCTAACACAGTCTCAGCTGCTTCTTTGCATTTATATGCCATTTTTCAGATTGGTCATCTTTACTCATAACTTTAGAAGGATAGAGTATTTGAATAGCAGTATCTTGGTTTTATTAGCTAACTGTGTTTTAATTGTTACTGGTATTATCAAAGATTAAAACCTGTTTCTATGCAATAAGAGTATGCAAGTTGGTTGATACTTTATTTTAAGGTTTAATTTAACAAAGAATATTGTTTTGACTGGCTGTCTTATTTAATTCTTTTTTTTTCCTGAATTGGACATAATTTAGGAAAACTGTTATATTCTATTTTAATGCAAGTAATCATATTTTTACACATGTAATCACTGCATGATAAACAACTTCATGCAAACTACATTTTTAGAAGTTCACATTCAGAAGAATTTATAAAATAATACAAAGGAACAAAGGCTGATATTCTATCTAAGCATCAAATACCTGCTACACATTGAAGTTCATTAAAATTAAAATTATTTGATCTTCCTGATCAAAGTAAAAAATAATTGTTCTAGACATTTAAGAGCTATCATTAACACTGGGTCAATTTAAGACCACATTTGCTATAAAAATCTTTGAAAATATATCTGAACACTTTAGCAAAATTTAATGAAATGACTTCTTACTGCCTGCTACACCATATTCAACATAAAAGTTCGCATGATCTGGTCCCTCATACTCCCAACTGATATTGGCATAGGTCTCAGCGGCAGCTGTTGTAACATTTCTGATCCTTGGATAAAGTGGTTGCACTGAATACACAATAGAAAGACAAAGCAGAATACGAAATTGAGACTTCATACATTTAAAAAAATTATTTTAGGAAGTTACTATGTTAATTTAGACCATATACAGGGAAAGTATAGTACATTTGTCATTGTTTTCATTACTGGAAAATAGTGACTAAAGCAGCATATTTGGTAATTGAATCCTAGGCAGTTACTACACTATGAAATTATACAGTAAAATCTATGTACTCTACTGAGCATGCCCTGTATCACAAAAACAGCCAAATACTTAAAAATACCTAAATGCCAAAATTCTGAAAAACATTATTTCTGTTAATCTAGAAGTAAAATGCAGACAGCTGGAAAGTGAGAACATTGTCAGGGTGATGGGAAATGGTAGGAGAGAATGGAGTTACGAAGGTGCTACACACCTCCCTTTATGCCACGTTTCACTGCATGGACTGCAAATGCCTCAACTGCAAGCCCTTATAGGATTTTGTCTCTATTGCATTGATAATGATAAAAAAGGAAGACAATACCCTTATAGAATGTTGGACGGACAGTGTGCATGACTGGGGAGGTTGCAAAAAGGGTTTCTGAATATCCTTCACCATCAGAGATAGTAGGAAAGAAAAAATAAAGAGTAAAACCACTTTGCATTGAAAAGTAACATTTAAATAATACAGTAAACCCTTACCTGTTAAATGAATAACACATGCACACTCTAAGTTCATGCAGGATTCAATTAGTTTTACTTGTTAAAATATGAAACAGCTAAGTGATACACAGGAATTTGAAAACAAACTGAAGTATGTGTGTACTGACACCTTTACAGAACATTTCTGAAATCAGCTTCATTAACGTTATGGATTCATGGCACCTTTAGATACTGGAACATTAGACATCAGCTATTGGAAAGTCAGTATCAAAATACTCTGGTGTGAAGGACACAAATCACTGGAATGCAAGTAGCTGTTCATTTTAAGACACTGTGTCTTACTGCTGACATTCTCGTTAGACAGCAGTACTTTTCACAGATACGCGTAATGCCCACACCTATGAAAATAAGGGCTTCTCTCTTCAGCATCCTGTAATTAGCCACTTCTTTGCTCATACCTTAATTCTTTGTTCTCCAATTATACGTGTTATAAATGGACATATATTTCAGTATTTTTGTTTGCCTAATATGAATGAAAAATAGATTTTAATAGTTCTAATACTATAATAGTGCAGACACAAAGAGGATGCTCCTCAAAGGCATGAAATTAGTTTTCAGTGAAAATGCCTCACTCGCTTTGCCACTGACATTTCTATCCTGCTAAAAATACCTTTTCTGTTGGAAACAACATCAAAAATACTCCCCAAAGGACCAAGAAACATCAGAGGTAAAAACCTAGTCTTGGTAAAGACAAACGGAAGAATTCCAATGGCTTCACATACATCAGAAAATAAAATGGGCAAAAGCCTGTTCTTAAGGCAAGAGGTGTTGCAGAGATTTTATCTATGTACTTTTTTTTCTCCTTTAACCAGGATGGTCTTGTCCATATGGCTGACTAGAAGAAGTTCCAAATTAGATTCAAGGAGAAAATGGCTTACTGACATAGTAAAATAAATAAATCTGCCCCTAAGACAGACTAAATAATATTAGTACCATGTCTAGAAAACTATAATTTCTGAGTCTTTCTAAAAAATACCTAAATTATGCAAATTCCATAATTTCTCCTGAAAATGTATTCTCATTATTACAAATTTTCGCAATATCAGACTTTTTATCCCCATATTTGCATCAAATTTTTCTTCTGAACTATTCTAGAAATACTCATTCAACTCTTCAATCTCTATTAACTAATTACTTCCACATTTGATGTCTTTGTAGGTAAGTTGTGCTTATATATTTTATATATAATTTCTTTCACTAACCAAAAATAATACGGAATATATCATTTAAATAATAAAGAATATATTTATTTATTGGCTAAAACCACCTGAACAAAATCAAATAGAAAGCACTAGATTTAAAAAAAAAGCCATCTAGGTTACTAAGTCAGCAACAAACCCCCTAAGAAATCCCAGAGCCAGGGCTGTCAATGAGAAATCTAGCATGTAACCGTATACACTATGGTAATGCAAGGGGATTAGAGTCTGCTTCTCTGTGCTACTTGAAGGTAGCAAGAGGAAAGAATAGCAGGCTCTAAATTTAGAAAGGTGCAGAGCCTGAGATTGCAGACAGGATATATAAATTTCCTTCCTCATTTGCACATAGCAACAGGTGTCTGTTACAATCAGCATCTAAGCATTTGTTCTGTGCCAAGAAAACAACCGGTTTGTATTCTAAATGCGACTTTGTCTTATTAAATTGTATTTTCTCAAACCTGTATTTTCCTGGATTTTGCTCTTCCACAAAAAATGTCTAATTAGCAGCACAACTGTATGACTGGTATTTGTCACCAATGTTAAAGACGGAAGAAACTATTAGCAATAATCTGTTTCAAACTCTTGCAAACAGATGCCACAGAATTACACCTAACTTCTCCCTCCTCATGCCCGAGCACCTGGGGATGAAGGGAACTGTCTCATCTTCTGTGAAAGACTCCAGATGACAGATAACTTCTGTAACACTAAGCAAATTCGATAACCACCTTCCCTGTAAAACCTCCAGTCTCATCTTGTGTTTTGGGTTTTTTTCCATCTCCAATTTCCAGTCTCTGCTCTGATTAAAGAGTTGCCTGCTAGATTAAAGACCTAGTATCTGGTAAATGTCTTTCTGTTCATATGATTGTATAGAACAATTAAGTTGGCTGGGAAAATTACCTTCATTTCCTTGGTGTCTTAGTTTCTAAATCCTCTCAAGTGACTGATTTATGCTTATGTTTATCAGATGTACTTTCATCTGATTCTTACCAATAACTGCTTGTATAGATTTATCCATGTGTAGTATTTGGTCAGATTTAAATTCTGTTTTTTTCCTATTGAATACAGTGCACCAAGAAATTTGTTCAGTAGCACATTTATTTTCAAAACCATTACTTTTGTAATTCTTCCTCTTTTTCACTACTTGATCTAATTTTCCAGCAGGCCTGGAAAGTTTTAGTGAAGTTTGTTAAATGTGCCATATTTGCAACATGAATACACATGTGAGAAGATAAAAGATGACTGATGGATCCTGAGGTGATGAAAGCCTAGAGCTGAAGTGGTTACAACATTTAAAGCTTGTCTCCAATCTACCCAGACTCTTGTCTTCTCAATCAGCACACCTCTTCTTATAATTAACCTCTTAGTTCTTCAATATGTTTCCCAGCACTGTTCACAAATGCAAAATGTGTAATTGTCAGTTGGCAGAAACTCTCAGCGTGTATAAGCGCCAGTTGGTAAAAAGGGGAGGCGGAAAGCTTTGTCTTGGGGAGCGGGGCTTTTTCACTGTGCTCCCTTGATCCGTAATCATGCACGACGCTGTGCAGCAGTGCTGGCAAAAGTGTCGCTCTAACACTGATGGGAATGGATTGTTAATAAGTTACATTTTTTATACAGACCGACTCTTATTCAGCTACCTCCAGTAAATTAAGCTCTTTTATCTATGCTATGATATAACGCAAAATTTAGCTGGCACTTCTGAGTATGGTTCATTCCTGTAGTGAGATATGGTATAAAAGCATTTGCCAATTGTTGAGAAAGAGGCCTAGGCTCAAAGTAAAATTTTCCTTTCTTTTCAAATTAATTCCAGTGGTTTTTTTAGTGGAGTATTTTGTAGAGTTGTATTTAATCTTCCAGCCTTTCAGGAACACAGTTACACTTGGGCTGCAGGTTCAACAGAATTTAATAAGACATGACATAAGATATGAACAGATTTTAACAACAGAATAGGTACTCTCTCTCAAGATTTAGTTCAGTAGAAAAATAAATTAAATAATCTGCAAAGTGACTAAACTTCAGGAATTTTCATGGGATTCACCTGATCTCCAGGAAAAAAAGGCAGGTAAGTGACAAGCACACATTTGAAGACTGGTGTCAAATGGAAAAAAAAATACAAAGCAATGTATCATAGACACTTAGTTAAAATGCATATACAAAGACAAAATAAATCCAAAGGAAAAAGCCCCACACCCACACACAAGAAAAGATGAAGGTAAAAGGTAATAGGTTCTGCCAGAGCCTGTAAGACACAGAGAAGGGTTTTGCTTTTGTTTGCTTTTTAACCTACAACTTTTACAGTATGAAGTTCAAGCCTCAGTATAACAGTAGGAGTGAATTCCATTTCTGGCAGTGAGAGATGGGCATTAGTCACTTCTAAGATTATTATGGCATGATTTAGGCCATTGCAAGAGCATCCCTGTAGTGCAACAAATACAAAAGACAAGAAATGCAAGAAATCTTTTCACTGATAAGCATTTAGCGTGGCATGGATTTTGCATGATGTCTATGAAGCAAAAGGTATTTGCAGGAATTTTTGCATTGTGATAATCATCGTTTTCTCTAGTCTAGCATGCAAAGCATCATCATTGTTCCCAGTAGACTTGAGGACAAAATAGTGCTTTGTGTAGCAGGCTGTACTTAAAGAATCACATAGATATATCATGGAGAAGTCCACAGGGAGAGAGTGGCTGAAGGAGCAGTACAAAAATACTATCATCAACTTGAAAAGAAAAAGCAGCTTGAAATTGTTAGCAAAAAATGTGGAGACATTATGTGAAATGATTTGAAGAGGGAGGGAAAACAGATGGTGGGCAGGGAAAATGATTTAAAGAACAGCATTTTGCATGGAACAAAGAAAATTGAGATGATCCTATCTTCTATGAAGAGATCAGAGATATGAACTCAGCTGAGAATGATTTCTAGCCTACAGTGAAGAGCTACATATTGGAGATTCAGTCAGAAAAAAAGAATAGTTTCAAACCCAGATGATAGACTGCTTGTTTTTCTCCCTTGCAACAAAAGTATTTCTGTCAATAACACTTGAGATATGAAGTTCACATGAAGCAGGCAGACCAGACTGAGTACTGCATTGACAGGAAGCATTAGCTTCAATTGAAGGTAACTGTGATCTCACAACCTTATTTTAATTGCAGTTCAGGACTGTCAGTTACCAGTGTCTGCATGCATACAGACTACAAGACCTTGCTTTCAAATAAAAATGCTAACTAAATCAAAAAGAAATTCAAAAGTGAAACAAGAAGGCTAGTGAAATGTAGAGACTGACATGTCATGGCATGACTCCCTACACTTTATCTTATCACAAACATAGTAACGAGCCCCTGTGACGCTTTATTTTATTCAGCATCTTTCATTTCTACCACTGGTCAAATTTGTATTCTTTTCCTTCCTCTATAGTCCAGTTATTTAAACCTTCTAATGGAAAAGGTTAGGAAAGACTTGACTACAGTGATCACCTGAGTTACTTTCCAGCTGCTACTATAATTATTTTATGTGTAATCAGGTTCTTATTCCCCAATTTTTCTCACACCTGTCACCTCATGCCTGTTGTCAGATGTCAATACATAAATGGCAACATCAATGGATACTGCTTATCTAATACTGGGTATAATACGTTATGTTTTACATATGCAGTTTTCAGACACATTTAGAATACAGGTTGCTAAGAAGAAAAACAATTTTTTTTTCTCTGTAGTGCCATAATTTGATCAAATTTAAGTCATTCATAACATCACAGTATTAGAAAGGAAAAAAGACAGTGCAAGTCAAATACGAGTATCAACGATAACAGGATAGCTTGCCCATCTAATAAATAATGTGTCTCATGATTTACTCATGTGGGCTTGTGAGAGAATGACATGGATCTCCTCCGTTAAGTTTCCCTTAGAGGGAAAAAACCACCCTCAGTTCTTGTAATTTGTCAAGATCCATTGCATTTCTGCTACTTGATGCAATGGCACTGTTTGTCCAATGAACTTTTTTGTTAGGATGGTGCCCATATTGCAGGGAGACAATAATTTCCTCCTTATATTGCCCCCCATTTGAATAGAGGTACTAATTTTTAGTCAAGCTACAGAAAAAAAAAAAAAAAGATTCCTTTATCTAAATCCCTTAGCCTTGACCTGATATTTCATGTTTTCATCTAAAATTGTTACTTTACCTTATGAGAAAAATGCACAAAACTTGCTTCTCTACTTACTGGTCTAGAATACACTGGATATCTGTATTTAACACCAAGATTATAATCAGACAAACTCAGTTGGGAGAAATATTAAAAGTGTTAAGTGTAGCAGTAAGCAGACTGTGGTTACTTTCATTGTTTTTAAAGTAATAAAAGACAATGAAGGGCCCATACCTGTCTAAAAAGATGGCAAAAGACACATGGTGCCAAGAGACAGGGAATGTATTTCAGGACAGCAATAAAAATATCAAGACACTCTAAGATCCTTAGACTTACGATAGCAATATTTCCCTCTGCACTTTAATATATAGTTTTACTCTGAGAAGTGAAATATGTCCAAAGTGGCACAGCTTGTCCAGGTTTAAATGGTTTGAATTCCTCCAGGACCTTGTGTCTAGTGTTTTTGACTGGCCAAGCTGCCGGTCTTCAGGGGCAGCTCACCAGTATAAAACACCAAGTACAGAAATTTCAGTGCAATTTAGGGGGGCTGAATCTGGGACCTAACTTCCTAACTTCTAAGATGAATGTGCTCAAATTGAAAGAGAAAGGATAACTACATTTTTCTGGTAAGTTCTACCCTTCAAAATTAAAAACAAGAAGGTTGGGATATCTAAATTTCACCTTCTCCTTGGCTTTGCATCCACATTAGTAAGAACTATATATACATATAAATATAGGCCCTCCTGCACTTAACGGGGGAGTAAAAATTCACTGCTGGGTACAGCTTCTTCTTGAGTGGGCTGAGTATTTCCATCTTCCAAATCCACCCACTCATGAGACCAAATCATCTGGCACTTGATCTTGATAATACGATACTCCTTTTCCTTCCTCATAGTCCCCGATCAGTAGTGAAACTGTTAACACATTAATGTAAGTAACCACTGAGAACATTCATCCCAGACCTGCAGCAACTCAGATGTCCTAACAGATGTCATGGCTTTAGTTCCATCCTGTTTGCAGTTCCAACGTTTTCTTTGCAATTGTAAGAGCTAGATCCTACAGGAATATGTGAAAACTTTGAAACCATAAACGGCATGGAACCAAACGAAGACATCTGCTTAGTTTTCAGAGAATCCGAGATGACAGCTCTGAAATGTGAGCTGCTCCAGCTGATCTCACAAATAAGATGCTTTCTGCTAGCCACAGACTGTGATACAGCTATAATTAGACCAAAGTTTCACACAGAGAATCCATTTTTCCTTGCACGAATTTTTATAGTCAGCTATAAATAATGAGAACGTAATTTACATTTCTGCTGTTAATGTCCAGGACTACAAGCCAGTTTGATTTTTCCAACCTGTGCTGACTTCTCAGCTACAACTAGACTAAAAAACAGTAAGAAAGACTTGTCATTAAAATAAATCCACAACTCCATACACTTACCAGAAATGCAACTTATATTAGAATATACTTCTACATACACATATAAATGTATATATTATATATGCACAAATGCTTGCATACATACATATATATAGTCTGATTTATACCAGACTGAGTGAATGAAGATCTTTTTTATAGCTATTATTCAATACACCTAATCATCAAGTGGAAAGAAAAAATATGTAAACCAATTTATGCTATCTCTTCCAAGGTGTAAAAAATGTTGGTTATTTCACATAAAGAGTTTGATTTGGGATGTTTATGGTCTGAGAATCTGAAGCACAGATGTTCATTAGTGTTAATGACACCTCTGTGATAAAATGACACATACATACAGAGACACCTTTCTGACTTACAGCTACCTATCAGTCCTCAGAACAATCTTTGCTTCTGACAGTAAAGGTATCAAAACTCATAAAAACTGTGCAAAACTGTGAAGAACACCTTGTCTGACAGAAGAACTGCATCATAAAGAACTAAATATTACTGCATTCAAGAATGAGGAAGATAATACGTTCCCCTCACTGAAATATCCCCTCAAGTGCTCACTTACAAGATCTGTGAACCTAAGACAGCAGGAAGCCATTTGCCTGCATATTCAATCTGATACTCAAACTGAGAAGTATACAGAGGGTATTGTCAGTCATCTGTCTCCTATGCACAGTTGCCTTGCAAATGAAATAAATGTGCTCAAATGGGTAGCATTAATCAGCAGTGAGAACAAGAACGCACCTACTTGTTTAAAACAAAAAACGCACATGGCACAGGCAGTAAAAAAATCTCCTTTGCAAAAGTGCTGTTTTTTCTACTCCAGCTAATCAGTGCTAGTGCACCTGGATCCTGAATATTTATGACAGTGACATACATCTGTTAAATGTTCAGAAATAATTAGACTCTGCTGAAGCAAAGCTAATGAATTCCCCTGGAACTCTGTGGCAAAATAAACAGATGAAAGGTATTAATAAGCATTCTGGAGTCCTTTTTTAAAAAAAAAAAACACCGAAACAACAAAACCCACAAATGTTTTCTTCCAGCACTGATTAATACTTTGTATAGCAATGTGTAGCCCAAGATTTTCTGTCCTTACCACTGCAATTTCCCCATTTGCAACACTGCAAAATCCACACATTAACAAATCATGCAGTTTCATTTTACCTTTGCCTGCACCTACAGCAGGACGGAGAATACCAGCTTTAATGGAGGAAAACAAGAATAGGAACACTATATAATTAGATACAACACCAAAGGGAACATACATATATAATTTCGTTATAAACCATGAAAGCATGCAGACTAGATAAAATGCATTAATTCAAATAAATTAGAAACAATACACTTATGCTGAACACTGACAATTACAAGACAAAAATTAATATACATGCATTTACAAAATTTTATTGCTCATGCTTGTTAAGATTCATTATTTAAAATAAATGTAGTTCATATGCAACTTTAATACACTATTAGAGAAATTGCATTGCATACCAACTCATCTACGGCAATTCCAATAAACTATAATTTTACTAAGCATAAAAATACGTGAAAAGATAGTACCAAAATAGACTTAATATTAAGATGTGCAAAACCATAAAAGGCATTCCCCCCAAATTTCCCCTTTGCTTTAACTTACTCTTATTTTATCAAGCTTTCATATTTAAACAAATAACATCTTCAACAAAAGAACTGCCAAAATCAGAGATCTAGAATGGCTATAAATGTAAAAATCAATAGTGACAGGATTGAACAATATACTTAAGAGTATTTAAATATTCTACAATGTCACCAGTTACGTGGGGCCATAGATGACAAATTTGTTTCTGCAGCTTTTTTGAAGTTACAGTTTTTGCCAGCTCTGTGAAAAAAGTTTAGGCCTTACAGAAGCTGTTGCATACTTCAAAAGAGAAAGAATTTCCTCTAGCCATAAAGCTGCATCATTTCACTACTGTTCTCTTTGATCAGAGAAGGTCAACGAAGCAGAATAGGTGAATGGAGGAAGGGCACTTAGAATGTAAAGTTACATGAAACTTTGAAGCCCTGAAAAGCCAAAGTCTTAGATCTTGTAACTGTATATCAAAAAGAGGGGCTTTACACCTCTTTTGGGGCTTCCACTTTGCACATCTTTTCTTAAAAATTATTCAAAATTTTTTATTAGTGTATAATACAGTTAAGAAAGCTCTAGAGAAAAATTTACTAGGGACTATTTCCTTAATGGAAGGCAGGAATAGTAATATTTGTAATAAAATTTGTAGTGGTTTTTAAACTCAGTGGGTTTTCTTTATACATACCCATCTTACCTTCATCCATAATTGTTACTGCTTCCTCAGTTATCTGACTTCCTGATCCAACAGAAGTTTGTGCGTTAAAGTAGAACTTGTACCGTGTGCTGTAATTTAAATTTTTTAATATCAAGCTGCTCTCGTTGGCAGGAATTCTTATCTCTACCAAGGGACCTAATTCATGTGTGTTGTTAACTGTTACAAGAAAAAGAAAAAGAGTTAGTTAGGAAAATTGCCTACTTTATCATCGTGTTAAAACACGCTTTTTTTGTTTGTATTTATTTGTTTTGTTTGTCTGCTGCACTGTTCATTTCAGGTTTCTGAATGATAATCTACAGTTTCAAAAGACAGTCACCTTTGTGTAAAAAGGATCTATGCGAGGGGCTAAAATTCAACAGGGAGATAGGAAACACCTACAAGATTTTAAGTTCAAGCTCCATTCTTGTAAGTATCTGAATCCAAGGCAGCTGAGTCCACATCAAATCATCTGAACTTTTGAAACACTGATCATTAAAAAATTCTGAAATTCTAAACTAGCTGCCTCATAATAAATTCAGCATGCTTAGGAAAAAAAATACTGAAGTGACTTGTATCTAATGCCAAGAAACAGTGGGAGTTGGTAAGTGGAAGAAAACAAACTTCCTTAATCTTTTCCACGCGCACGAATCTCTTAATTTCCTGTGTCACTGCTGACAAATCTCTGGGCAAATAAGCAGTGGCATGGCGATCCTAAGGAAGTGATTTATAGCTCTGATAAGAGTAAATGGCACATATATGAATTTTTCATTTTAAAAATAAAATACCATGAAAATTGAAGAAGCAGACAACAATATAATTGGATATATTTTGATCTAGTTCTAATGATATTTTCTCTGCAGTTAGAATATAGAATTTGTAAGTATTAGTATCTTGCTTCTAACTTGTCTGTCAATTATATGCAGGACTTCACCTCCATTTTTCTGTGAAGCATGGTTTGAAGAAATAAAAATAATGGAAAAATACTAACCTTGTACTTGAAGGTGTGAAGTTTTCCAAATAGAGTCATCTATATTGTCAAAATACATTAATCTTTTTCAAACTTGACATCTACAATAATGCAATCATATCTTTTGTACATTAGAAATTTAACATAATTTTTTCTTAATAAATGGATTGCTATTTGGTAGACATATTGTCTAAGTTAGAGTTATATATTCATAATTAACTTACTTGGCTGAAACTTCAGTATATATGATGTCAAAACACCATTTGGATGGGTAGGTGAACCCCACTCCAGAGTCAGAGAGTCCAACGTTGGGTTAGTAATCTTCAAAAAGGAGGGTGAACTAGGAACTTTTAAGAAGAATATACAATAGATACAAAGTAGATTAACTGAAAACAGCTCATGAATTATTAATTCTTAAGAATTAAGTAAGACTATTACTGTATTGAGCCAGATTATTATTTTATGATGTCCAAGATGCAAATTCAGCAATTACACTCTTAGTGTTCTATATCTGAGTATACGGCATTTAGTTTATTCTCTAGCTTTCTCATTTCATACCTCCTTCAGGGGTCTTAAATACTTTGTCTGGGCTTGCTGGTCCTTCTCCTTTACCATTAACAACTCTAACATTCAGCTTGTAAGAACTATAGGGCTCCAGCCCTGGCAACATTCCAAAAGTCTTGTTTCCCCTGAAAGTCAAGATCTTTTTTTCCACATGTCGCCTACTCCTTCTGGATAGATTCTGCACTTTCCAGTAGTAAACCTAAAGACAAAAGAAAATCTACAGTGAGTGTTTAGGTGTTCTGATTTTACAAACTCTTACACTTTTCCATGAGTATCCATGAATTATAAGGTAGGAATAACTGCAATTTTAATAAGCTCAGGTGAGACACAGCATAGAGCTTTCCTGCTCCAGAAACAGACCTTGTCCAGAAACAGTCGTGACTACACAACTGGGTGAAGACTATCCCCTGCCAGTTCTGCTAATGCTCAAAGCCAGTTTGACACAAGTTCTGGTTTGGAACTGTGTTAGCATGTGATGGTTCTCATGTTAGCAAGTCCATCTGAGAGGCAGAACTCATTCATACCATCCATTCTTGCAGCAAGATGTCTACACAGCTTCCAAAGCAGACTTGCACTTTGCTACCTTGTTATGTCACACACCTGACCATGCTATTCCCTGTGATGTGGAAGCCAAGTAGATATTTTTAAACGGGAAAGAAAAGAAAAGATTTGCTTGGGCTGGAAAAACACACAAGTTCTGAAAGGACACTGAAGTTACAGTCATGGAATGATCTCCACCTAGGGACAGGAAAACTATTCCTCCATTTATGTGACAATTAGGTCAGATCACAAAGCTGATTCTGGTGTCTATTTTTCTGATTGAGTTTCTAAGAAACTACAGATGAGCCTCAGAGGTAACTACCTTGACTGCAGCCTCTTTACTAAACAATCTCTCTACCATGATAGCTGGAACAACATTAACAGTTGCTGCTAGAGACTTGTGTTACCCCTGGGATTGTCACCTTCAAATATATCAGTGTTCATTTTTCACAGCATAATATTCATGCATGTATGATCATACAGTAAAACTGATAAAGCAATACAAATGGGTAAAATTCTGGTTCCATTTAGGCCAACTGCAAAACAGTTCTTCAATCAAAGAAGCTGGGATTTCACATATCAATTCAAAAAAGGGAACTGTTAAGACTTACAAAGCCCAACGAGATAGCTTATAAAGCAATGTTACACTGACACCAGCTTCCTATTGCTAACAACATACCATTTCACTCTAATCACTGTTAAGTGCCACTGTGTTTTACACGGCTTGAGTTAATGTTTTTCAACACCACCAGCTGTCATCCTGTAGCTCTCATCCTACCAGCTAGTGTAGAAAGCCATTTAAAAGCTAAAAAAAGCTTGAAGTGATGATACTATTAGTACTGAAACTCACTAGATATAGTTCATGATATTTTAAGAATTGTTAGCCAGTAACTTTTCACAAAGCACATTATTATAGTTGGGTCATCCCTTGTCACTAGCCAGGCTGAAATTAAAAGAGACCTTTAATAAGCTGGGTTTGAGAAGCAGTGATTTGAAAGAGGAATATGACAGTAAAAGAGACTGCATCACATTTTTCACATACTGTATTGAATAACCGCTGAATTTGTAAGAACAACAGGAAAAAATGGCAGCAGTAACAGTGAAACAAATTCTCTTTAAAATCTCTTCTAAGGTTTGAAATGCTTTATTGTACCACAGTATATCAAGTAATAGCTAGATTAATACAAGAGCAAAATATGAGTGATGTACTATAGACTGCTGCTAGTTAGATGTCTTCCTGCTTTTTTCATATATTTGTCCTCAAGACATAACTCTTTAGAGAAATACCAGTCTTTATTAAGAAACGTGTCCCTAATGCAACATTGCATATTGGGCTACAGTCTGAAATAATTTTATTAGTTAGGAAAGCCTGAGTTTGCTAGTAGGATTTTGCTGATGTGTTTAAAAAGAGATAGTCATGTGCTTTGCAAGCTATGTCAATAACTAAGAGACTTAAAGCGCACTTGGCATCCATGAGAAGTTTTCAGCTTGAATTCAGAGAAAGCTTTATAACGGTAACTATCCACTAGGTCTTAGGACTTGTTATGCCTTGTCTAGTTTTTAACCTACTTCAGCTTGATTTAGCTGTATCTGCAAAAATTAATTAAGAAACTTTTGCTGCATCTGCAACTTATTCAAGGATATACCATTGTCTTGTTTATCCTAGCCATAACAGAAAAACTACTCAGTGGTCAGGTCTGTTGTCAATCCTGTGGTCTTGAGCTTGTTTTATTTATGATGATTGACTAACTTATTTTAGCTTCAGTTTTGCTTAGCTTTGTGTAATTGTGTGGTTCTCCTCCCCACAGAAAAAATCGTACTGTATACAGAGAAGGACTCATACACTAAACAGATGTAATCGTGGCATGACTAACCCCTTAGACGAACTGGAGAGGAAAGTGTGCAACCCATTAGCAAATACAGGACAGAAAATAACCCTCAGAGACTCCAAATCTGAGTAAAAAGAAATCTCCATCTAAACTTGGGATGATGACAACTCACTGTAACCATGCCTTTGACGGGTAAGAACTTAACACCTGATGTATGGGCAGATGTTTGTGTCTATGGATTTTTTTTTATTATTAATGATCTTTAACAGAAATTTGGTGATTTGGATTATGAGCATTAGCATTGCTGTAACTGGATTAATAATAAGCATTAACTTCACTAAATTCTAACTCTTTAATCCTCACGAAGACATTTTCTTCTGGTTGCCCATTTGTGTGTGAAATACCAGGTTGATATGAGACTGTCATCTAACAGATAAACATCTAAGAGACTAAGAAGTCCTGTTTCTCAGATGAGTTTATTATCTAGGGCAAAGCACCATGCTAACTACAAATACTTATGCTAGCTCATACAGAATTAGCTTAAGTCTCTCTGGACAGTGGTATTTTGTGCGAGGTAAGTGACATCCACACACCAGGAATTCACATTCATGTGGTAACCAGCTGTAATGCACTGAAGTTTGGTTCCAATGCTCTTGACTGCTAGACCTAGAACAGACTCCTACAGAAACTATTTCTCCTCAGCCTGAAATATCCTTTTGGAATAAGATCTGTAAAACTATTATCATTTTTTAAATCTATATAATGTGTGCAAACTTAATTGCAAACACATCCCATTTTTCTTCAAGGACAATGTCACAGGAGGCTGGTGCTACAAGGCTGGAACATTGCTGAACTTTAAATGAACTGTATCAATGCTCTTGCTCTTGTCAGCAAAACTTGTGAGCTCACTGAAAAGCAAGAGTCCTCTTACATGTCAGTTACTTCAATCTGGATACAGTCTTATATAGGAAGAGTGATCTATTTTAATAAACGAGGAACAGAAAGCTTTTGACTGTACTTACTTTGTACCCCTGAAGGTGTCCTCTGACGGTTTTTAGTGGAACTGGGTCCCAATGTACCTTTGCTAATGTGCTGTTAATAACATGAACCTGCACATTGCCTGGAGCAACCATTGGCACTGTGTGGAAAGGATGCAACAAGCACCTAGTTAGAATGAGACACCACATGAACACACTTTTTCAGAACGAGTCTTTGCATTGCACTCAAGGAGTAGGTTAAAATGTTCCTATGTTAAAAAGCTGACCTCAGGATTAATACTACAGAGTATTATAAAGCCTTATTATCTCCAAATCACTTCATTTTAATTAAAAAAAAAATAAGTGTTATCTCCCTTTTGCAGTATTTTAGTATTTTAAAAACTCATTTAGGTTACACATTTAGTTGCTTTTAGTACAGTTGAGTCAAACTACAAAACTTACAGTCTTCCCCTGAATGTCCAATCACCTCTGATGGCTCTGGTGCATATCCCAGGTCATTTAAAGCTTGTACTTTTATTTCATAGGGAACAAAAGTTGGTGTACCAGACACAATATATTTAGATACATTTGCAACTATAACAGATGTCCACTCATCATCAACATCTTTCTGACGCCAGCTGACTTTGTACTGAAGCCCTGGTCCATTAGACTGAAAACCTTTTAAAGACTGAAATGAAAAGAAATATTTTTTTAAATATTCTGAAGCATTTGAAAAATCCAAAGTCACAAAGGAAATACAGTGATTCTTCTTTAGAATTTTACTGAAAATCTACCAGTGTATTCTGTGACAGAGAAGCACTGCTGAAATTTCCAAGCTATTCAATTTAGCTTTTACAGGAGGTCAGTTTGTTTTTTCATTCATTAGTAAATGAATGAAATTAGTAAATGAATGTCATTCATTAGCTTTTCATTCATTAGTAAAAATCACATTGAATGGTGATCCTGGCTAATTCTCATGCAACGATACATTGTGATTTCTGTATACATATTTTGTTTTCAAATATTTCTTAAGAAGTGGAAGAGGGAAAAAAACCTTACACCAACTCCCTATAAACAGTGTTCCCTCGACAATGTTTCTTGCCTGGGATGGAAAATAGCTTTTACATAATGGTAAGGGCATGATAGAGAAAATTTTTCCACAAAAGTGGAAGAGTGCACAATAATTTGGTTTATCACAGAAGCTGAGGGTAGAATTACAATTCACATTAGAATTCATTCTGAAAATAAGACTCTACTTGAGATAAACCACCATTTACATATTTAAGTTTTCCTAAATTTGCAGCAAAACATCCTGTATTACCAAAATAATGGCTTATCTTGAGAAATCACTCAAGGAAAATACAGCACCTTAAAATTTTATTTTTTTTATAATGCATGCCGCTTTTCCCTGAAAATGAAGACACAGAAATGTCTGGATTTTAGTCTTTTTCAAGAATGTTTTAAGCAAGTAACGCATTGGGTATTCTCATAGCATGTTTGCAGTTAGATCATTATTATTTCTCTAAAAACGTGTTACTCACAGACCTGAAAACAAACAAATGAAACCTCCAAAAAACAAACTTACCTCCCATGTTATCACCAAATTATCAGGTTCTGAGCCTATCCCTTGTACATTAGAAGGATTTTCATCAGGGTCTAAAAATAAAATATTTACATGTGAACAAGAATGACTGCTGTTTGCATTCCAAGCAAATTCAACGCCATTCATAACATAAATCAATGACTGGTAAGTGGGAATAGTTATTTACTTGCAGATTTTGTCAGGTACTGCTCAGATGGTTCACTCGGCTGACTTCTGCCAATCTCATTGACAGCTATCACACGGAATGAATAGTTGACGTATGGAGACAACTTCAACTGTACTGTTGTCTGAGTTCCAGGAACTTCCGTCTGGTAATGCCATACCCCTGGTTCATGCAGCCCATCTTCATATTCAATCACAAAGTCTGTAAAAAGAAATTGAATCCAACTTTATGTCAAAACTTGCAACACCTTCCTAGATCAGGGTAGGCATTTCTGAATGAGTTAATCAGAAGGGAGTGATCCAATCAATGTTTTTAAAAATCATGGAAGCTGAAATATAAGTACATAAACCAGAACAAAAATCTATAATGTGGATTTCAAAAGTACTGGCTAGAAATATAATAGAAACACTCTTACTTTTATTATTTGGTAATCTCACTAATCATAGAATCAAAGAATCATAGAATCATTTAGGTTGGAAAAGACC